TTCCCCTTTACTATCTTTGTTTTATTTGTTTGGCTTTAATATCTATTTGCCTATTTAAATTCTGCACCTGTTTGAATAAAAATTGTATACAAACCTTTGCACACAACAGTCCCCCTACACCCGGGGCCATGAGGGTATTAAACATAGAGAGTGGTTGACGTACGACTGGCCCAAGTTTGGCCTTATCTTCCAAAGAAACTAAGACAAGTGACATCAAGTGCTTTAAGTGCCTTGGTCGAGGGCACATTGCCTCTCAATGCCCAACAAAGAAAACCATGATTTTAAAGGGCCAAGACCACTATAGTAGCCTTGATGAAGCTACTTCTTCTTCTTCAAGTAATGAAGAAGAAATCTTAGAGTCCGAGGAAGAAATCTACCCTTGTGAAGGAGACTTGTTAATGGTTAGAAGGCTTCTTGGAAACCAATCTAGTGATCTAGATCAATCCCAAAGAGAGAACTTGTTTCGTACAAGGTGCAAGGTTTTAGAAAACACTTGTTCTCTCATTGTGGATAGTGGATCTAGTTGCAATTGTTGTAGCACTAGATTAGTGGATAAGCTAGCCTTAACTACTATACCTCATCCAAAACCTTACAAATTACAATGGATCAATGGGGAGGGAGGTATTGTAGTTAATCAACAAGTAAATATACCTATCTCCATTGGCAAATACCAAGATGAAGTTTTATGTGATATAGTGCCATTGGATGCTAGTCATATTCTACTTGGAAGGCCTTGGCAATTTGATAAAAAAAAACTATTCATGATGGCCTAACCAACAAAATAAGTTTCCATCACTTAGGCAAGAAGATTGTGTTGTGTCCTCTCTCACCTTCTCAAGTGTGTGAGGACCAAATCAAAATGAAAGTCAAAAGAGAGGGAGAAGAAAAAAAAAGTAGAAAACAAAGAAAAGAAAAAAAAGACCTTCCCTTAAAGAATAAAGAAGGGGAAGAGAAGGTGCCAAGTTTAGAGGCAAGTGTCCCCTCTAAAGAAGTTGTTCACAAAAGTGTTCTATCCCTTAAAAATGACATCAAAAAAACACTTTTGATTGAACAACCTTTGTACCTTCTCTATTTCAAAGAGACACTTGCTACCACTAGTCATGAGCTTGAGTCTCTACCTCATGAGGTTCAAAAACTTTTAAAGGAGTTTGATGACCTATTTCCACAAGAAGTCCCAAGTGGACTTCCACCCTTAAGAGGAATAAAACATCAAATAGACCTCATACCGGGTTCTAGTCTGTAGACCCCTAAAATTGTCCGGGTCGGAAATAAAGCTTGAAGACTCTTGAAGACTGAAGGAAAGTCAGCCAGAAGGACTCATGGAAGGCCCTAGGAGGATTCTCTGTAGGTCTAGAGGTCTTAATAATGTGTATATATATATATATATATATATATATATATATGTGTGTGAAAATTAGAGTATATATAACTTAAATACATTCGTTATTTTTTTATGTTAGTTTTTAAATAATTTTTATATAATTAAAATTTTCATTTACAAAGGCCCTAGATTAACTAGTGTTATTTGAAGAAAAAAAAAAGTTAACATCAATCTTGGCACCTTTATATTCATGCGGTGTTCATGAATTCATAAAAGTCATGAATACACATCCATGCTAATGTTATGTCCCATAACATAATAGCGAAAATTGAGGTCTTATAATATTGATTCATAAAAAGGTTTCAGCTTGTCTCTTTGGAGATATCCCTAAAAAGTTTCAATTTAATCACCGGAAAACAAATCATTCATGAGGGAGAAATTATGTATTATGATTGTCTTGTGGGAAATAAAATATTTTAATTCTATTAAGAATAATTAATTTCATAGTGAATTTAAAATCAAATATCAACACTAATTAAAATTCTAGTTTAATATAATAAACTAGTTAATTAAAAATTAAATTTTAATTATAATTTTAACTTTTCAAATATGAATTGAAATTATTTATTTTTTCAAATTCAAAATTGTATAATAACTTAGAATAAAAACTTAATAATTTGATCATATAACTTATCTATTATATTATATAAAAACTATCTATTAATGTCTTACTATCTTCTCATATTTAATATAATCAAATATGATACAATATTTAATTAGATATTTTTCATCTCTAATACTATATTCTATTTTTAAAAGAAAATTAAGAGATGTTCAGGATCTTATAATAAAATTAAAAATGAAAAGAACTTATCAATAATATGTGTAGCCTTCCTGACAATTAATTGTTTATTAAATTACACCATTTAGTCTGAAATGGTAATTGACCTGTATCATGTTTTGTAACATACCACTAAGGTCATTTTCAATGACAGCAACCATGGAAACTCCCTTAATAAAAAAGAGAAAGACATAAAATGAGAAAAAGCAAATGTTTATAAATATAAACTATATCAAAAGAAATAAAAAGCTTCATTCTGTGATTAGAAATCATATGTTAAAAAATAATTCACAACAAATTTATCAAAAGAAACAAAATTGATGTGGATTTCCTGTAGTTATCCATTAACAGAATTTAATTTATTATCTCAAAGAATTTTTAACTAGATATATTATGCTGCCATTATTTACAAGGATTTTGTGATAATTTTATAATAATTATTTTAAAATATATTAAATAATTATATTTAGAATAAATTACATTCTTCTTTGAAAAATGTGAATATTACATTTTTCACTGTATGTTTAAAATTTCAATAAATTTCCTTGACAGATTCTGATAATGACACTTTACTTATTTTTTAATTTGTTTTATTAAAGTTTTATAAACCTTCATTAAAAAAAGTATTATTAAAAATACATAAATATCTTCTCTTAAATATAAATATTATGCCACTTTCTCTTGTATTAAAATGCACGTGAATTTTCACGTTTCAATCTCCACAGTCAATTTAAATTGCAACTTTTGAGTCATAGACATGTAACTTTACATTTGTACATGGATGGAAAGAATGAATACATAAAAAAGTTTTTAGCAAATTTACATTATGACTTTTCCCATGCAAATGGGTGAAAAAGGATTACAAATGGGTGGAAATAGGTCAATACATAAAGCTTAGAAATGGAGGCTTTCTCCCTGCAAATGGGTGGAAAAGAATCAACACATAATCTTAAAAATGTAACTTAAAATATTTTATAATTCAAATAAATATTAAATGAGAGGAAATTAACTGTGAGAAGGAATGAAGGTGGCTGAAAGTTTTAGTGAAGAAAATTCATTATTCATGCATTAAAATAATTTTCTCACACAAACAAGGAATAAAATTTTGAAAAAAAGTTATATTTTAAGAGGAATTATCCAGAAATTTCTAGACCAAAATTGAAAAATTAGAATAAATTAATTATAATTAAATATAATTAAATAGGAATACTCCAAATGAAAAATGATAAATTAGACAGATTAATTAGGATTAATTGTTAAATAATATAAGAATTATAAATACTTGAAAAATTTATTGATTAATTAGATAAAATTAATAAATTAATAAAATTTATTAGTATAATTAAATATTTATTTATAATGTACGTAAATCATTAGACTTTTTAAGTATTTATATTTGTGAGACACCATAATCTTTTAAAATATAAATCTATATAAATGATTTTTTTAATTATTTACCAATAAACAAAAGATATATCAATAATTATTAGATTTTTTGTTAAATATGATTTTAATTCCTCAAATTTAAAATAAATTTAATTTTAGTACATCAAATTAAAATTGATCTCTTTAATTCTTGTAATTTCAAAAACTTTTGCTTTGATTCTTATATTCAAATTCTATTAATATTGTCCACCAAAACAACTTTTGCTTTGATCCTTATATTCAAATTCTATTAATACTGTCCACTAAAACAAAAGATGTTATTTATGACCAGAAATACTAAAACACAAGATATGTTATTTATGACTTCAGGTATTAAAACAAAAATTTTGAAATTTATAAGAATTAAAAACTAACAGTCTTACACGGCAACAGCAAACCGCAACATGACCTTAATTTAGTTATCCCAAAAACACACAAAATTTTCAATTATCCTATTTTCATCATCTTGCTCTTACTTCCTACCTATTTCACTTGTACTATAAGATATTATTAAAAAAGGAAATAAAATAAAAATTATAATACATCACTTCATTCATTAGAAGAGTTGTAGTAGAGAAGCAACACACCCTTAAGAAGATAGGGGCATGCAAATGTGAGTTTTCTGATAATCATTATCCTTACGATGGTGGATTGATTGCAAAAGATATCACTACTTAATTGATAATAAAAAATTAAAAATTAAAAATTAAAAAAACAAACATTTTATTGTAAAGTAAATCAGAAATTAGCTAAAGAGACACATAAATCAATACTGAAGTTTAAGCATAAAATAAACAAATATGAAACTCTTACTTCCGGTTATAGAAGATATGGATCCAAATATTAGAAAAACATTAAGTCATTAAAAAATGAAACATCCAATCCAAAAACAGTAGAATTTTCTTAATTAAAGGAACCAAAAACAAATAACTAAAAATTACTTCTTTTTAATGATGTACGCTTCAAGTTTTGAGTAACATTGACACATCACGAACAGAAAAATTACATAGTCTCAGTCACTAAACATTACTTGCACAAATAGACAAAAAAAAAACAAAAAAAAAACCAAAAGAATATTCTCCTATAGAAGTTCCGGTTCCATATAAACTATGTTAAATTTTCGAATCATTTGTCCTCATTACATTTTCACAATGCCAACAACTACTAAAAAAACGCAGCCTACTTGGTAAAAAAGACTATAACATAATTACAATGATCCACAAGATGTAGCAGATTACAGAAAAGAACACAAAATAATGTCTAACTAATTGCAAAAGGATAGCTATAAGTTGATAAAAGAATAGTATAACTGATATGGCTGAAAACTCCACTTATTTGTAACAACTAACAAGCATATGCATTAATAATTTTGATATCTTAGTAATATCACAAAAAGAGTTGCAAGGCAAAAGCAGGAATAACATTGTGATAGACATTTAACAAAAAAATGCTGATTACATAGGTTGAAAATTAGTGATGGTGAATGTTCCAGCCATCCCAAATTGCAACACCTCAATTAACAAAGAGGCTTTGTTTTGCCAATTTGAATATATTACCAAAAGTGACACCACAAATTTTCCTACTCATTGTTGAAGAGGCTATGTTACCAAGTGCATGAAATGGCCTCTCTTGTAAACTCCAAGAGCAATGGTGAAAACAAAACTAAATACCCACAAATTAAGCAGAATTACACACTTATTAATAAATCAGAACAATATGTTCATCTCAAAATCATGGTTTGTCCATGACATATATACACACAACAGCAAATAGCAAATCCGAATTAAAAGAGACAACCTGTAATTAACTAAGAGCAGCAGAAAGAGTAAAAATGATACCTAACGCAATGAATCTCTATTTGTCAGATGACTCAAGCGCTTCATGTATCAACTTAATCTGTTCCCCAATGAGCAAAGAGCGATTCGCAACGAGTTCAATCTCAGCACGTCGCAAGTTCCTCCACCTTCCCTCCAACTCCTTCCTCTTCGATTCTCCAATCAATGTCAATCCCCTCTTCATCTCATCCTCATCCAGCTCCTTAACATCAGATATCTCGCGGTAAAGCGAATTCACATCACCAATATCAGATTTTTCAGACCCCTTCGAGTCCACAAGCGCCAATTGAGTGTTTGTTTCGGGCGTTGTTGTTGTCACATTCCTGCTTTTACCTTCCTTCTTTGGAATTGGGCTCCTCGCGGGGTTCT